AAAATTAATATTTAAATAATTCGTTAATGTATATGTATATGTATATTGTCAGATATAATTCGATCGATTATTAATTATAAATCTATTACGCAAGCAGTCGGCAACACTTTAATATTTATATGTTTAAATATTTATTAAAATTGAAAATAAATGTATCCACGAAAATTAATATTTAAAACTACAAATATTAAAGTTTTGCCGACTGCTTGCATAATAGATTTCGATCGAATATATCTGACATAATACCTATACATGTTTTAACAAATTATCTAAAATATTAATTTTATGTTAAGAAATAAAAACAATATTAAAATATATATAAATAATATTAAAACAATATTTAAATAAAATTAGTTTTTAATTAGATAAATTATGACAACTTGTAAATAATATGCTTCGTAACCATTTATTAATGAACAAAGAATTTAAAAATTATATCGAGAACTTCACTTCTGATATTGTAACACGATTATTAATAAAATTGAATTAATAACTAATTAATACAAAATAAAATTGTTTAAAATATACAATACTATCATATAGATATACAAAATTGCAATGTACTGTATTGTAACACATTAATTTAAAAATGATTCCTTTCTTTTTAGAGAATTCTAGTTTCTAATGAGCTCTTTGACAATTACAGAAGCAATAAAAAATATAGAAGTTTTTATAAAATTTTTTAATTATTAATTAAAAGCCTTTTAACTTTCAATATATTATCTTAATATTATTTTCGTACATTGAGCATTTAATTTGTTTTATTAATTCTAAATAGAATTTTATTGAAAAATATTTTTATCAATCTTGATTCAAATAAACAAAATTTTAATATAAATAACAATTTTAACATAAAAAAGTATAAATGTAAAATTAGCTATTTCTTCGAAATTCTATCTTTTATCTTTATTCTATCTTATTTGTTTGTCAAATTCTTTTCACACTTTTTAGAAAAAGATAACGAGAATTCTATCAATTATATCGAAATTCTAAAAATGAGACGTTAACTTTTGCAAGAATACCGATATTATGAAAATAATTAACTCAATAATTGTTTTTATTCAGCTTTAAACAAAGCAATCCTGTGGTTTCAATTCCGAATCGATATAAAATTCATGATATTTGATTTATCGTTATCATAAGTAATATACCCAATAAAAGACATAATTTGCGTATAAACTTTGGAAAATAGCAATGGCTGTTGGCCTGGTTTTGTTGGCAATAATTAAATTGTCACTCTAAAGAGAGACTCACTAATCGAAATTGCGACCGTTTACGATAAAAATGTAAAAGCAATTGCATATATGTTTCTCCTCTGATATTCTATTCCAATATTATATGATTGAGCAATTTCAAAGGCCTTTTATACAAAGCTATATTTTTTTAAAATTAATCATAATTGTGTATAAAAATATATTTCTAGAATCTGTGTTGTATATTTAAAATGTAAACATTTTCCATTAATTGCTGAAATAAAAATGTAAAGCTTATTTTTGCACGAGAAGAAATATTAATAACGCTACGATAATTGAACATTCGTAATAATTTACATAATGCAACATAATAAATGCAATTTCCTTTGATGAAGATTTATTAAAAATTAGATAAGAGCGAAAAGTAAATATATAACGTCTCGTTATGATCGCACAAAGAATTCAACGTCGAGCAAAAAGAAAGCTAATCAACTACGCAAGGAAATGAATAAAAATATCAGCGCGTGGCACACATCGAACGGAGAAGAGGGTGAAGAGAGACTATTTTAACGCACGATGCACAATAATTAGCCAAGCATGAGATGTGACGACGGCGCACCTTCTGAACACCGCTCGTGCACGTATAAAGCAATGAGCGCCTCGAAAGGGGTCGCCATAATTTACCGAGAGCGCGCAAACACTCATTTAAACTCCAACACTGCTCTGGCCATTATCTAGGGGTTAAAGACCCCCGAAGAAGAAAACGGACAGCGAATGGCGGATACGAACAGTCGGTGGAACGGAGATAGAGCAGAGATCTCGCCCTACTACCGACTGTTCGAAGCACACAGCGGGTGAATCTAACGGAGAACTATAATGGGGTTTCGGCTTATCTCGCGGCCCTCAAAGTTTTCTCCGTACGAGAGCTCGGGGTAGAAACAGCGAGAATGTACGACAGAAGATCGCCCGATGCGTGAGGCCACATTAATTACCGCCATGTCCCGAAGACCAACCATTCCTGACGTATCCATCTCTTTCAACCACGATTATGTCTTGATTGTGTGCTCTTTCTCTCTCTCTCTCCTCTCTCTGTCATTTTCTCATATCATAAACCTGTCTCTATCCCTCTTCTCTCTCTCTCTCTCTCTCTCTCTCTCTCTCTCTATTCCTCCCTTGCATTTCCTACCTACCCTATCTTCGTGTTCGTATACCGGAAATTTCAAACACGCCCGTACAACTTTCGACGTGATTAAGGAAGATCGCTTCTGTGTGACGCCAGATTTCAACCACCAGTTCTGATTAATAATTCGTGGTAAGAGGAGGGAGAAAGCAAGGTCCTACGAGGTCCTTCTCGCCTGCGAGGTTCACTTTACGAGGATAGTTGCTCAACATCGGGTAACTGTCTTCCGATACATAGCCGCGGAAGAACAAAATCCGATCGTGTCGTCAGAAACTTCAAATACGCTCGACTAACTTTCCTGCAATTAAGGAGCAGACAGGGTAAATGGCGCAATTTAGGATGGAAGCGACGCTGATAACTTTTGCGGGCTATCCGCGTTCGAAGTATAATAGTTGTTTGGTCGACTAAATATTTAGGTCACAATCAGAGAACGTGTCGAAAAGAAAAATATGGTAAAATGTTGTTTTAACAATAGCCGTCAAAGAGGCAAGGGAGAATAAAATGCATCGGATAAGAAATTCGCGAAATACGAGTCCCTTGTGCAAGTGTCCTGCGAAATCATTCGATACGATTGCACGTATCCGTGCAATTTATGCTAGAGACTGAGACACGTACAACAAAATATGTAGCTCGGAAGAATCTATACTACCTAACGTGGATTGCACTCAAGAATAGCCTTGCGGTTTTCTTTTACCACTGCCTAACCAATATGGACAAGAGGCAGAGAGAAGAAAGAAACGCGAAAAAACAGTTGCGTTTATCATCGAGCTCGTAAGGCAGAGTAGTAGGAGGCAAGCGTAAAAGATATAAACGCAAGAGAATGGCTTACGCATAAGAATAAAGTGCTGTAATGCACGAACGTCTCGACCCTACTGTAAAGAAAAATGTTAGATCGCGAGTTGTACGCGAGAGCATCACGCACTTGACGGTCGACAAAACGTTTTCATTACGTAGGGTTTATACAGAACATAAAATCCACTCTGAAAGATCTCTAAAAATCGCGACACAACCCTCAGAGAATAAATTTTTCAGAATAATTTACTTATTATTTTTGTACGCCGTACGTGTGTATACAGGGTGTCCCTTAAGTAAAATCGCAAAACACGTGTTTTAAGGGTAAAAGAGTAGCCCCTTGAAATGATCGAACACGTGTTTCGCGATTTTTCGAAATTTTGATTTATTTCCGAAATATTAGAGGTTGTAACGGACTTTAGGGACACCCTATATACATGTGATAAATAGAATTCTATTAATTATCCTGTAAATTAAACTTGTGAACTTCCCAATATGAGGATATTTGAGCTGAGTTAATAAAACTGGCATTTTATGTGATTAATATTTTCATTGCAAAAATTTCTTTTAAATAATAATAATTTTAAATATATCCATTCTTTTTTCTTTAAGCATAAATTATTAGAATAAGATGCTTTTGCTAAACATATACGTTAAAAATAGATATTTATTTATCCTTTGTAAAGTTGTTGTTATACTATTTTAAAAATAGATACTTGTGTTCACCCTTCATTAATGATCCACCAATTATTCAAAGAAATACAATCATAACAGTAAAGTATCCTGCAAATTGTGCATTGTTACGAGAAAATTACCATTTTATTCCCCCATTTATTCGAAAGATCTACGCTTATAACAAAATGCACTTTTGTTTACGAGCTAAGTAAATTTATATATTTTAAAAACAACCCGAATAAGTGAGAAAACATATAATCGCATTGAAACATCATAGACAATTTAAAATAATGTTAATAGAAAAGCGCAAAATGTAAGATGTAAATGTATACAATACACAGGCACACATTCCATTTACACAAGAAACAGAAACTACCGGTGATTCTGATACTCGAAAGTGGATCTGCTGCTGGGCAGCTGCAATGGCTTGCAACAAAAAAAATCAGGGAAGATAAACCGGTTTATCACCGAGCTTATCGTAAATCGTACTGTAAAAAAGAACTGATACTTAAAAGAATGTGAAATAATCACAAATTATTTTTATATAATTATAGAAATGCAGCATGAAAAACATGCGACTCTACAATAATAACAATCATTAAAAAATCATTGTAAAGAAAATTGATCATAGTTTAAACTCTTATTATTAGTATTGTGGTTAATCGTCTCTTCATACATAATTGCAAACAGCAAATTATGCATTGAATTATGTAATAATAAAAATTTACAATAAAATTAGCCTCATTTTGGAATAATTTTTCAACACAAAATTCATTAAAAAAAACTTGGGTACATATATTTTCTTTTCCCTTTCTATCTAACTTCTATAAATTAAATGATTGAAGCAAAGAAATGAATTACAACTATCATGGTTTTACAGTAAACTGAATATTTATTGATAGTTTATTACCGCATCCTCTCAATAAATATTAGACAATAGATAGAGAACAATGTAATATGAATAGAGCCGAGAATCATTTGGAAAGGGCGTAGCGGATCCCAGGAAGGCATCGAGACCCGGCTGACGTGCGCGTTTCTTTCTACTGCGAAGCGGCGCAGTAGAATTCCGTGAGTTTGCGCGGCGAGGGTGCATTCACACCGCGCAGAGACCGAGAACCGGCCATGCTGGTACATGCGCAATGTTGTATTGATCCTGCGGATCGGAGATGCACGTACCAGCATCCAGTGGTCCAGCGGCTGTACACAATGTCATTTCTGTTCGACGTTCTTCCGGTATTTCGCGAGCGAGGTCCGCGCGAGTAATGAGAGACTGACCAAAGTCTGACTCGTATCACTGATTGATAAGCCGCGCGCCAGAAATCGGACGTATTTACCAGATTATGATATACAAGAAAGGCACGGGATAAAGGCGCCGTATTCAGAGAAAGAGTGAAAACGAAGAATCCGAGGAAAGCAAAGCGCAAGTATGCCATGATAGTTTAAATTATGTTCGATTTAGGTACACATCATATTCTTGGCTTCAATAATAAGAGATAATAAAATAATTCAGTGAATAAAAACAATAAGCAACTTTTAAAAGTATAAGAACAATAAAAGTAATCGGAATAGTTTTCGTTTTAGAATGCGTTTCTAATGTTTTGTTCTTGACGTAGATAATAAAGTAATTGCAGTAAACTATGATAGAGAAGATGCATAGAAAAGAAAAATTAAATTTATGTTAATATATATGTATGTCACAAGAAATATAACATTGTTATATATCTTTTTTAATATTTCTTGAGATTTATTTGTGAAAATAATATACTTCTCACAAACTCTCTTATACTTTTGTAAATATAACCATTAACTGTTCCACCCACACAAAATAAGTATAAATACAATTTGTAACGATTAATTTGCATTACTAATATAATAATATAATAATCCTAAAAATTTCATTAAACTGTCACAAATATATGACGAGCAATTATTATGAATCTTTTACTGTCAAAAATTTTAGCTCAAAACTTTAACTTTGTTCAAAAACTTTAATTCAAATTATTTTATTTAATAAAACATTTTATTTAAAAAATTACTAATTAAAACATATATACCTCTTAAAAATTAATAAGAGCAAACGATCACTTAACGCAACAGGTTTGTAATGTATGACTAATAACTCGCAAAGCTCAGTTAAGCTATCGATATTATACTCTGTAAATACTAGTGAAATATAAATGAAATTTCTCAACCGACAACAGAGAAAAATATAAAAATTAATTTAATAAAAAAACATAATTCCAAGTGCACAATAAATTTCAACCGTGAAGATTTTCATTTGATATTCATTTTTTGGATAACAAGCAGGAAATTATTTTACGTAAATTTAAAAACAGATTTATAAGAAATACAGTTTTAAATATATTCTTCAGCAAAAATAGATTTAAAGTTTTGTGTAAAGTGTTTAAAGTAATAAAAATCAGTATCTTAATCTAAATTACTATGTATATGTATCATATGTATATAGATCTTAAAATTAAAATTGAAATTAATATTGAAATGAATATATAATCTTAAAAATAATAACATTCACAAATATCCCAAACTTATGTACGAAATAAATTGGAATATTAATAAATCCGAAATAAACTGATGTCATTTTATTAATGTGTGTACAGGATGCTTTTGATGACCTCTGTTTAATCACACGTTAACAAAAAAATGATATTCCCTTTAATTATCCTGATCCTTTCGGTGGGGATCTGCTATAGCAATCCAGATGCTAAAAGACTTTATGATGATCTACTTTCAAATTACAATCGGCTGATTCGACCTGTATCTAACAATACAGACACTGTTATTGTGAAACTAGGTCTTCGTCTCTCGCAGCTGATAGATCTCGTACGTATACATATCTTCTCTCGTCATGTATACATACTTATGCGATCAAATATAATTTTATCATTATTGAAAATTAATAAAGCTATGTGTAATTCATGCACAATTAAATGTGTAACATATATACCTACATTTTATTTATTTATTTATTTATTACTATTTCTCCTTATTGAAGTCCACTCGTTATATTTGCAGAATTTAAAAGATCAAATCTTAACGACGAACGTCTGGTTGGAGCATGTAAGTGTTAAATTATAGACAAAAAAGTTTGACCAACTTTTAGTTGGATTGCGAATCAAAGATCCGATTGTAATCGAGGTAAATATTAATATTTTCAGGAATGGCAGGACCATAAGTTCCAATGGGATCCGTTGGAATACGGAGGTGTCACTGAACTCTACGTGCCTAGTGAACATATATGGCTACCCGACATTGTGCTTTATAACAAGTACGTGATGCTGCACTGAAAAAAATATTTACATGATTAAGCTAGGTTTTTTCCGACCCAGCATAACCATGCAATATTGATACTTACATGGAAGATTACAGATTATATGTAATTTCATACGAAATATATTCTTAAATATTTTCAAGATTAAAAATATTTCACTGAACATATAATTACACATAGAAAATGTTAGGAATGTATAAATGCTATAAAATAGTGTTATAAATAAAAAATAGATAAATACTTATAAAATAAAATTCTAATAAAGTAAAAATAGTAAATTTAAAATTACATATGATTTTTGCATAAAAATAATAATTTTACCTATATTTTACATGTATTTTTACATTAATATGTATTTTCACTTTAAAACAAATGGAAAAAAAATTACAGTGATAAGCAAGTAACTTTTCCAGTTCTGACCTAGTAATTTCTATGTAAAAGTACATGGATTTTTTTCAGTGTGCGTTTCATTTTTCTTACGATTATCGCGGTTAAAAAATAACTGCGCATGATTTCTTTCGCAAAATATATTTTTAGCGTGTATTGATTTTTTATTCAGAAATTATATACAGTGTATTACACCTGTATAAAAAATTGTTAGTTTATCAACTTGAAGTAATAGGCATACGTTTATTGATTTTTCAGACTTGTCAGACTCAATTATATGGTGTATTACATTTTTGTATGGAAAAATTTATAAGCATTTCAACTTGAAATAACGAGTTTATTTTTAGCGCGGACGGAGAATACGGCGTGACAACAATGACTAAAGCTATTTTGCATTACACCGGCAAGGTTCTTTGGACACCTCCCGCAATTTTCAAATCTTCTTGCGAAATAGATGTTAGATATTTTCCCTTCGATCAACAAACCTGTTTCATGAAATTTGGCTCATGGACATATGATGGCTTTCAAGTGAGTAAATCTTATCATTTATAAATATATAGAAAAATAAATATAAAGATGGTATAATTATTGTCCCCCCGTTATGTGATAATCAATTTCTTTCATATTTTGTAAAAATATCGATTACAAAATCTCTCCAATATATTTTTTATTTCTAATCGTCCGAAATATATTTTCTTCAGATTGACTTGAAGCATATTAATCAAGATGTGGGTGATCAAGTCAAAGTAGGTATCGACTTGCGCGAATATTATCCGAGTGTGGAATGGGACATATTGGGTGTTCCCGCGGAACGTCACAAGAAATATTATCCTTGTTGTCTTGAACCGTATCCAGATATCTTCTTCAATATAACTTTACGTCGGAAAACATTGTTCTACACGGTGAATCTCATAGTACCGTGCGTCAGTATCTCATATCTATCAGTGTTGGCTTTCTATCTACCAGCCGATTCCGGAGAAAAGATCGCTCTCTGCATCAATATCTTACTATCTCAGACCATGTTCTTCTTACTGATATCCGAAATTATACCATCCACATCGCTAGCACTGCCGTTGCTCGGCAAGTATCTACTCTTTACGATGATCCTGGTCGGATTGTCGGTCGTGATAACGATTATTATCCTGAATGTACATTACCGTAAACCGAGCACTCACAAGATGGCACCTTGGGTGAGAAAAATCTTTATAAGAAGATTACCGAAGCTACTTCTGATGAGAGTGCCCGACGATCTTCTCAGTGATCTCGCTGCACACAAGATACATGGAAGAGGAAGATCCGGAAAGAAGAGTAAGTTTAATGCTGCTATCGCAGCAGCGGCACAATCGTCATCGATAATATCTTCGCCGGATTCTGCCCGCCATCAACGAATCGATGGTATGATCCTTTTATTAATTCTCTCCGTCTCAAGTAATTGATTCTTTCTTTTCTGAGTTTTTATTTAATTTTTCTTATAATTTTTATAATCTTCAATGCAATATGATGTAAAAAGAAATTATATATTTTTATAAACAGTTATTTTCAAAAATTTGCATGTGTCAATTTTCAACTCATTAGTTTATTTTTCTCATTTTAATTAATGCACTATAATGTTCTCTATTACTTTTTTCTTAATGCATTCCATATAGCTAATATGTTAAAATTAATATTCAATACGTTGAATGCAACGTATCATTAATTGATATATTTTTGTAATAAAATGTTTAGATTTTTTATTAAGTTGTGAAGCAATGATTATGTATAACAGTTAACGATGTTTTAGGTTGCAACGGTTTACATAGGACAACTGCCCATAATCGATTTTTAGTCGGCAGTTTAGGATATAACGGGCTTCCAACAGTTATGTCCGGTCTTGATGAGTCATTGAGTGATGTAACGCCAAGAAAAAAATATCCTTTCGAATTGGAGAAAGCTTTACATAATGTCATGTTCATTCAGCATCATATACAACGCCAGGACGAATTCAATGCGGTAAATATTTCAACACTAAATTATAATTTGATGTTAATTTAATGTATTAAATATTTTTATAATATATTACAAAAAATATTTAATGCCTAAAAAAATCGTATTTCAATATTTCTGCTGCTTTTTTAAAATATGAAGATATTGTTAAAAATCAAATTTCACGATTCAAAAAAGCAACTATAATTAAAAATTATTCGTGTATAAAATTGGAAAATAATGGGATCATTTTAGGACTATTTTAGGAATTATTTTTACATGGATATTGAAATGTAATCCTTTTGGATGCCTTATTCTGTATATTAATTGCTATGTTTTACATTGTACCATCATAGGAAGATCAAGATTGGGGTTTTGTCGCAATGGTTCTTGACCGTCTCTTTCTATGGATCTTTACGATAGCCTCCATAGTTGGAACTTTTACAATTTTATGCGAAGCACCGGCACTTTACGACGACACGAAACCGATCGACACGGAATATTCCTCAGTTGCTCAACAACAATTTCTCCCACCCGGCCAGGATTTGCTGGAAACTATCGGGTAGACGTTCATAGGATGATGTGATTCTATTTACTAATGTATTATCAATATAAAGGAAAGTGGCGAACAGTCTTTCCGAAAATAATAGCAAAGTTGTGATAGTCCATGTTATCAGACATTTGACAAAGAGAAGCATCTTTTTATGAGAAACATATTTCACGATCATTCATTGCATATATTATTATATTTAAAGATCCGATTTATACTAAAAATTCTTTCAATTAAATAAAAATTATGGTTTCGATATTTCTAAAACATATAATTATATATAGCTCTAATGTATCACGGTTCTAGAAACTGGCCTAAAAATATAAAAATATAATGTACTTTAATTGCGAGAAAGACGATTCGCTGACTTACCGTATAATTATAATACGATTATACTCCCGAAACTGTATTTATACTTATTATATGCGCAAATAGTGCGTAAATCGTTCTTTGATAATAACAACTATTGATGTTCGCAATGTTGCAACAGGAGACTTTACTATAGATATCATTTGTAAAATTTTTGGTAACGTTGGTTACAGAGACGATGCATAAACGGTGGTATTTCATTCGCGCACACTCACACCAAAGTCTACTACCTGTATATAGGACAAGTTTCATGCTCCAATTAATATCTTCCCGAAGAGCAATCGATTCGTATATATGTAGCGTAGTTTTTCGATAAATTATAAACAAAACTTTTTTCATTACAAGCAAGAACATATATACTCGAGTTTGTTCGATATACTGTACGCATTAGAAACAAAAATAAAATTTAAAAAATCAAAAAGTGAAGAACAAGCCTTTTTTCTTAATTATATATAATAATTATATATAATAATGATATATAAAATATATATATACATATATCGTTATAGGTGTATTTTATATATCTATCAAAGTATATACCTATTAAAAAAAATAGATAAATGTACGTGGACAAACACACTTAACTAAATATATATATTTTATTATATCATACATATACAAAAATTGGATGGCAAAATACTTACATAAAAAGTATGGAATTACAAAAAGATGTATATATTAAACATCTTTAGCCTCCCTATTTTCAGTAAACAGAAAGAAACGAAATTTCTTGAACGTTATTAATAGGAATAGGATTATGGGACCATTTGAGACCATAAGTATATGAAGGAGTAAGTAAAATGAACAGAAGAGATTTGAGAGAAGATCAAGTGATTGAAGATTACGATGATATGATTGTCGACAAGTGCGTGTATCAAATGTACGACGCACATCAGAGAATTATTTAAACTTGCCAAAAGGCATTTAACTGCATGTGTGTATATGTAAATTGTGTGAGTATATGATAGATAAAACATAAAAAATAAAAGTAAATGTTCAAAGTTATATAATTAGTTTTTTTTCTCGACTGCGAGAGCAAGCAGATCGAATTTTTTTCGATAATAATAAATAGCATATTTTGCGGTTATTCTTTATCTTAATTTTCCACATATTAAATATAAATTTATATCCAAAATATTTAACAAAGAAACCTATATTTTTAAAATTAGTATTTAATAGATATCTATTTATTAATTAATTAATAATTCTAAAGTGATATTTTTTAAAATATGATGTTCACATCTTATATACTTTTATGGATTATAGATGACTTTGTCTCACACAATTTTACACAATGAAAATTAATTCATTATTCCTAATGGAAATGTTATTCAAATGCTTGTAAGGATCTGACTGTCATATGGAAGTAATAGCCTTAAAAAAACGTATAACACTAAAAAAATATTGTAATTCTATCGGTCATAAAAGACGTTCTCAGTCAAAATCTTTCCAAAACTCAGGAGCAGGAAATTGTCCATCTTTTATTTGAAAGGCGAGCAAATGCTTAATTTTTTTTGCTGATTGCTGAGGGGGGGGAAGCAAATACTCCCTCTTGCCCTCCTCCCCCTGCCTATGCATATAATGTTATAGATAAATTCTTATCTTAATAAATATATATTAGAAAAAAAGGAATAATAAAATAATTTCTAATATTTTTTATATTATTTCAAGATAAGAAGAAAAAAAACTATATTATTACATTTAGAATTAAAATATAAAAATAAAAAAACAGCTAATCTGCCAAACAAAAGAGAAGACTAATGATAACTTAAATATATGATTATAAATAATAATAACTGTAAATAATAATAATAACTATAAAATATAACTACAAATAAATACATAAAACAAAATATCAAATTTTGCACATAAAAATATTGATTTTATAAGTAAACCTAAACAGGAGACTTTACTTTGCTAGTAAGAAAATAGAAAGAAAAAAAGGACACGAAAAATTTCATAGGAAATGAAGGTGCCTATCTGTTAACATTTTTAAAGGAAGTGGAGATGCCTATCTGTTAAAATAAAATAAAATTTTTCAATATCACATTCGCGTGCATATGAATATTATCGAATCATATCTTGAATTTTTACCTAAGGCGTAATGATAAAGATAGCTAGGATTTTTTCATGCAAGGTGGAAAAGTTTGAGGATCTATCGATACAATTGAACAATTATTTATAGTTTGAATAATTTAAAAGCCAGAGAGAAAGAATTTCACTCGGCATCAAGATGTTAGATCATTCAAGATTCCTCTTAATTCTTATAAGTTTTTTCTTAATCAAAAAGGATAAAGTGGAAATATCGATAAAGTGGAAAATATCATATTATAACATCGCGCAAGACACGGAACTTCCTTAAAAAGTTCTGCTGCCCTAGTGCTTATCAATTTCGATTGCCTATGCATTCATAATAATTTTCTAATGAAATTAAGCATATAACTTACACGCTCTTACCATACTATACTATAATCTTCTATAATAGAAGTTCGCAAATCTTGTTTTATCTCGTTCGCAAAAATATATATCTTGTTTAAAATACACTTATTCATTCACTCTTATCTGTATCTACAATTGACCCTCTATATCAATTAGTACCTGACTTTGATAAATTATTATCTTTTGCATATCGCAATGTAATGACTTTCAAGTATGAAGAATTGCACATAATATAATATAACATGACTTACGTTCTCAGCAATCCTTCTTTTTTGTTGCTCTTAATGTGTAATAAGCGAAGAATGTCAAGTAGTTCTTATGCGGAAAACTGGAACCTATGCATGCACGCATATAATCTTGCAATCAACCTTTCCACGTGCCGATATAATTTTTACAGTTTGGACAAAAGTGATGAACACTCATAAAAGCGCTCATACAATACGGTAGACATGAACAGAGACAGCATCTAAAACAAGAAATCATCAAAACATGTATTTTATATGAAACTTATCATTGACTGACAATGAGTTTATCATTCATACATGCAATATACATAAGGCATCAGAAATAATATTTTATAAATATACCTTGCTTATACCACAATATAAAAAATTTCCTAAAAATTACATGTTACTATAATTGTGAAAACGATCATTTACATTTTGGTAACTGAGATAAGAATATATAAATATAATTATAATAAAAGCAATTAAATTAAATATAAATCAATATAATAAATAATAAAAATAATTAATTATAAATAGATATAATATTTTATAAAACTCGATAAATAATCAACAAAAAGTGATAAATAAATATATATATTTTGATTTAATAATAAAAAACAAAATAACTTTATTAAATGATCGAGATACGTAAAAGACACGAATTTAAATAAAATAGTAACAAAGTGTCGCTTACCCAAGTAAGCAAAGCACGATACAGCAAATATGAGCACTGGGCTGATGATCCGATATCGTAGTAGTTTTGATATCGGTATGACACGATGGACAGGATATTTTTACGGAGTTCGGTCCTAGAGCGTACGTTACATGATGAATAACTCGTACTTCCTGTTGCGGTGCAGAATTGGGCTCGGCATTAAAACGCGACTGCGATGTTGATTGACTCGAGCCTGGATATATGGAAGGCGGCATTGGCATCGTCGTTTGATTCGGTGGTTGATTGTCTAAAATTGTATTATACATATAATTTATTTTACACGTGCACTTTCCTCTTATCATTGAAAAAAAAACACGTATATATTAGTATATTCAAATTTCAAAAAGCATAAATATATTATCAATTTTCAAAATCAATTTTCTTGAAAATAAAGACTAGAAAAAATTACACACAATTTTTTTGTACACAGCTTTGTTTAAAAAACATATTTTAAGAATATAGTAAAATATACTATAATATTAAATAATATAAAATTAAAAAAAAAACAAATATAAAAAATAAAAAATAATATATACTTGTACTTTTTTTAGTAACCCCTGATTCTTTACATATTTTTTAGAAAATATTACATACATGGCATTGGCATTGATATTGGCGCAGTTCCTAGAGGATATGGTGTGGAACCAACTGGAGGGTGTAAAGGTACTCCTCCTGTACTAGCTATGGCTTCCTCATAAGAAGGTGGAGCCGTTGGCAGAGGAGCCGAAGGTTCAGCATTAGTCGCATTAAAGCCTATATTCTTCTCCATTTTTTTCTAGAAAAAATAAAAAAGTTTTTGTTAACATTTTATATAAATTATATTATACATTTATATGTATGTGAAAATTATTATCTTTCAAATCTTTTTAATATTCTAAAATTTAAAATATATTCTCATTCACATTTTTCATAAATGTTACGAAAACCTATATTTTTTTAATATAATTAATGTAAATAATAATTTCTACTTTTTTTTAAATAAATATACATCATTATACGAATTAAAATCTTATACATTTTTGTAATATAAAGATTAATAATAGAAATTTACAATATAGATATAAAATTAAATATTTATATAAATGAGTAAATAATTTTATAAGTGTTACAATTTGTTTTTACGTTTAGTAAATAAAAAAATTAAAAAATATTCATTTAAGAGTTTTTAAGCATAAGAAAAAGTACACAAGATTAATTATAATTTTACATACTTATTTCTTCTTTTGTTTTTGACACCACATCTGTTTTCATATTTCAATTAAAAAATTCTACAAAAAAGAACACTTTCAAATTTATTGATTTCACTCGCAAAAAATTGAGCGCTGAGTAATTACCAAGTGTCAGGATATAATCCATATTCGCAATATATCCATAGATCGCAATATTTCCTTATTTTTGTACTCATAAAATTAATATTAATGTATTTTGTAACAAGTTTTTCAAGAGACTAATAAAAATACAGAAAGATAATGCGCAATTTGCGAGCAGTATTTTATCGATCAATTTATGCATGTATGCACGCAATGTAATAATGCAACAATAACAAATAAATCGTTCAAATCTAATTTACAATGGGTATACTTATAATTACTGTAATTGTGTTATTATTGTATCTTATTGGAAGATTTATAGCCTTTGCTAATAAATACCTTTGCACAAATTCGTATGTTTTAAATCATACAATCGAAAAAATATTTTTATTTAATTTTGCTTTCACGTATTTTTAATTAATTTTTTGTTTTTTTGTTTTATAATATTCTAAATTTCTTTTAGTTTCACGCATGATAATTTATATTATATAATTAATTATTCTTTATCATATTATATTATATAATTATTCTTTATCACACTTCTACCAACTTCAAGTTATTGTTTATTATATAAGCTTTAATTAATCAATACTGATAAATTATAAGAATACTGATTAGTTATTTTATCACAATTTTATAATAAACCCTAAAAGTCAAACATTATCATTTAAGAATATATAAAATTTTTTTAGAATAAGAATTCTCGAATTAAAACTTAAAAAAGACGAAATATTCTTCAAAGACGCAAGTAGTTGTTAACGTTAAAACATTTAAAAAAATAAGCTTTATATTTTTGACAGAAAGTATAATATACAAATATAAAATCCATGAATTTCGAATGACAAAATAATCGTGTTACATGTGTGTATGTGTGTGTAAATCAAATTTAAGTTTTATTAATCTCACACACTCACATCTGTACGTTTCACAGAACTGTTGTATTAAAGATTAAGAAGAAAGTGAAATAAACCGGATCGAAGATGGTTAATTTCTTATTGGCCAGAATCGATTGGACAATATATTTCACAACATATTTTTCATGATAAGAGAAATCTAATCTGCTGACGATAAGAATTTTCCAAAATTTTTGATAAACCAAATTTGTTAATCCTGAAGAAAGCCTTTCGAAAAAAAAAAATTTTTTTTCGCGAAATATACAGCATATTTTCTGATACATTTTTTAATAACGTTATTGCACATCAGGAAAATATTTGTCTATATATCGTCTAAGAACTAGGAAACGTGAAATTTTAAGATCTTAAGATAAACGATTGTATGGCATGGAACAGCATGTAATCTTTGCAATAATAAGATTTAAATGTAAATAACGAACGAGCGCGTATATGTGTGACCGAGCGCAAATAGAAAGTTGAGCGGATGTTAAGTAATGCAGACACGATATATATTTGCCAGCAGAGTCATGGGAAAACTGTACTTAGAATCTCGAGTGCATCGTAATGTCAAACATTTCGTAATAATTTAGACAAATTACGTGCCATCCCATTGTTGTCAACCTGTGTGTGTAGTATTTTAACGTACACGAATACATTTACGCTCAGATGATACAATAAATCGACTTAAATATATAAAAAGTATCTTTTGGAAATGGAGATTTTTTGCACTTTTATTTTTTATTTTTTTAATAGTTTCGAATAAATGTTTTTGATCGACCAGAGAATAAAGTAATTATTCATCACTTTTTAGTCAAAATAATTCACTAATAATTAAAACGTATTATTAAATTAAAGTTAATGGTAATTTGAAATTATTTTTACGATATATTCGTGTGTAAATTTTCAAAAATAATCTTTTTCTGAGATAAAAAATAATCTTTTCCTCAGAAATTATTATCTAAAAAGATAATAAACCAGGAAAAAGAAAAGAAATTATTATCTTTTTATATAATAATTTCTATTTTCTTTTTCCTGGTGAATTTATTTTGTCAAGCAAAAAGAAGATTGTTTAAATCATCAAAGGCAGTTTTCATATTACACAACACTTTTGTTATATAAAAAGAATTAAAACAAAAACATTTTTAAGAACCAGAATAAAAAAAATCTTCACAAGATCATATGTTTGAAATCCCCATAAGATTCAAATAATATAAGCTAAAATACACACACATACACACAAGCTTACAGGATTTGTTATGCGAATAAATTTCTTTTCACTTATGTGTTACCGCGTTATAATTTTCCCGGAACCTTTTCCTTATTACGTGCTCGCTTTTGATCATAAATAGCAATTAACAAGAAAGTTATTTACTAAACAAATGGATAAAAAATTAAAAAATAAATCCCTTACAATCTATTATATTTTAAAATATTAAATCATAAAACAAAATATTCTCATATCATTCAGTTTGTATATACCTGTATTCTAAAATTTTAACATATTGTATTTTAGATTATTTGCACATTATCACTATTTTTAAAAATTATTCAGTTTTGTATAAAATTATACCTGTATAATATACAAAATCCTTATTTTTACTATCTTTCCACAGCATTTCTCATTCTTTTTCTATGTAACTTCTACAAAGTATGTAAAATGCTTTTGCAACTGCAAATACAAAAATCATTTAGATTTCTTACAGAATATGTAAATTATTATCAAAATTAAATAATTTAACACATTGAAGAAAATTCTATATATTTTTAAATTAAATTTTTAAATAGTTAAACTCTTAATTTAAATTTTAAATATTTATGCATTTTTTAACAACTTTATACATATATATTTATGCAATATGTAACCTTTACACAGTGAAATAATTAACATATTGTATTTTAGATTATTTGCACATTATCACTATTTTAAAAAATTATTCAGTTTTGTATAAAATTATATAATATACAAAATCCTTATTTTTATTATCTTTCCACAGCATTTCTCATTCTTTTTCTATGTAACTTCTACAAATTATGTAAAATGCTTTTGCAACTGCAAATACAAAAATCATTTAGATTTCTTACAAAATATGTAAATTATTATCAAAATTAAATGATTTAACACATTAAAGAAAATTCTATATATTTTTAAATTAAATTTTTAAATAGTTAAACTCTTAATTTAAATTTTTAAATATTTATGCATTTTTGAAGAATTTTATACATATATTTATGCAATATGTAACCTTTACACAGTGAAATAATTATTTCTCAATAACTGCATAAGTTTCGCAAAATAAATTGGCCAGATAAGATACTTAACCTTCACACAATTTGTTCCAGATAAAAAAAATGTGCACAAATAAAATAACGAGGATATGAACGTTCATACATAGATTCGCCTGTACATTTGGTACACGTTTTTTTTTTTTTTTATATTCGTATGGTACCATTCAAACAGCAATTAACATAACACATAAAACGTGTGTTTCCATATTAATTGAATTTTGCGGTCTCGCAGACAAGATGAGTAACGTAATAAAGAAAAAAAGAAAAATAAAAGAAAGAAACAAGATATGATTGTGACGACACTCGTCGTTCGGGGAACATAAATAAAAGCAAAGAATGCGTCTCACACACACACACACACACGTATACGATGTACTTACTGCGTGCCTCTGCAAATTAAATAACTGTCCACGTAGTATAACCACCGACTGATTAGGTTAACCGTCGTCACTCGATTTGGCGGTGGATAAACGCTACGAAGCCAAGGGGTCGCGTAACAAAACACGGACTCACGCGACAACTGTCACCCAAATTGTGTCCTGGTGTACGATTCGTGATCCACGCCACTCGTGAATCTTCCTCGCTCGCCGAAGACGAAAGGAAAACGCGCGAAACGACGATGTTAAAAGAAACGAAAAAAAAACAACGAAAAAGGGAACCCTTTAACTTATTATCGTAACCGTAACGACGACTGCAATGAGACTGGCCTCTTCGCGACTATTTTCGATTTCGAGCCCCACTTTTCGACTCTCACGCGAGAACGCGTCCACCAATCACGGCGCTTCGATTGGATTGCGTTCGAAAGTGCGCTCGCAGGATAAAGGAGCGTTCCGATTGGTCGAGCAACTTCCTTCATTTTGATGAGTGGATTTACGAACGCAACCCTTTTACCGACATGACACTTATGTTTGTAAAATGCATATGAGAAAAACATACATAATCCAAAAAATAATAAAATAACAAAATATATAATTAAAATGAAATATATATTATGTATACTTCTTTGTCCCTAAAAACGCAACGTAATTTGTTTGGAGCATAGCAGTTATTGCTTAATTAAAAAATTGAATTAACTTGAGACATACCAGATAAGTAACTACTTACATTTATACAAAATGTAAATAGTTATCTTGAAGGAGATACTGACCAATTATGTATTATACATATTGCACACATATTAGATTATAGATTTTATTCAACATATATATTAATAAATTAATATTATTAAACGTACTTTGTTCTCAGCTTATTGATCCTTGTTTTATGCTCTGCCATTTGTAATGGTGACGATATTAAACCTACTAAAACACAATCAGCTTCTAGAATAGTTAAATCCGTGGTTGCACCTAAGAATCTGGTGGACAATTCCAAGTCTTTTATCCTTAATCTAACCTTCGATCCTCTCACGTAATATCTAAAAGTATAACATTTGCATAACAGCATGTATCTTCTTAAAGAAAATTGTTTTAAATTAAAAAGAAAATAAATCAAAATACATACTGTCCATTCTTGATAGGTTTCCGACAAACACAGTGAAATTTCCATCCAAAATCAATATACAGATCATCACCAACCACATGAAAAATCTCACCAGTTACTAATTTTCCTTCAGGATCTCCCAGCTACAAAACATCAATTATTGAATTAATATTACATGCTCAGCAAAAAGAATCAATATTTTATATATAAATATTTTATGTATAAATATTTTATATATAAATATTTACATCAACAAGTTTGGAGTTGCGAATTAGGGAAGCGAACGTTTTGGGTTTCTCAGGGACTTTATCATTCATGTGTGAGAACCTCTCGTAACTTTGCGCAAAACCGCTCAATTTTGCCTCAGAATCTGTTGCCTCCGTATTTTCTTTCGTTTCTACTTGCGTTTCTTTCTCGACACCGGATTTCGAAATCGGCGACTCTTTGTTTTCTCCCTCTGAATTTTTCTCCGCGCTTAAACACCTCGTAGAATTCACCCTGAAGACGTTGAGAGATCGCAAATATGTCAACGTTCTCTCGAAACGATATATCTTGTTCATGGTTACAATAAAAATACGTTTTCTATCGTCACAATCACTAATCCTCTGCCGTAGATTCCAGCAGAATTCAGGTTATGTAAAAACCCACGTGGTGTCGTTACGACTTGTTGTTGTTGTAAGAGAACCTGTGTACTTTGTACGACTGGGAATTGTTGATCCTGTCTCTGGAATTTCGTGAATTGGGAGCTTTTATTTTTAAGATAAATGTAATTTAAAAGTTGATAGAACTTGACGTTATATATGTAGCGATATTAAACATTTCTTTTTTACTAGATTATATAAAAGTTATATCGTACAATTTATATGTTGCATTTCAGATTGTTTCAAAAGGCATCTCTGTCTCTTCCGAAATAATGCTACCTTCTTCGATGTTAAGTATCATAAGCAGGGAAATTTCCACGTCAGCCTCTGCAAATCAAATATTAAATTAAGTCGATTGAGGGTGGTGGATAACAGAAATAGGAAAGGAAGCTATCGCAGAGAGTAGACCACAACAATGACCATACATGTTTGTTGAAGTAGGATATACTGGTGAGACAGAAAATAGAAATGAAATATACTTGTGAGAAATTTAAGTGGGGAAGGCTCACTTCAACAAACTATAGAACTCATTGACTATAGTGGGTGTAGTTACAAAATATATGCGACAAAATACGTCACTACCGAACTCGTATAATACCGGCATAATATTGTGAATTGACACAGTCTAACGCTGACGTGGAACGTTGTTGCATGTTAAATACCGTTATTAATAATGTATTTTGTTATTGTATTGTAGAATTAGTAAACAAGCGATATATATTTTGCGTAAAAGTTCGGGATATGCAGTTATCTGATAGAGTATGATAATGTGATAAAATGAAACATATTATAAAGCAAGTAGCTTCTTGTGTTAACTGTATGTGTTTCCGGAATATGTTTTTAATTGAATAATTATTCAGTCTTTTGTGGCGTGAGTAATCTGTCTATAATTATCATTTCGCTATCACTTTTTTATATATTTATATATCAATGTCCGATACTTCTCTCTTTTTCTCTCTGCTCCTCTTTTTCTTTATATATTCTGAACAATAACAAAAAAATGCGATTTTCATGAATCTATTCTTTCAAATAAGAACAACATTCTTTATTTGACATTATTTGATATATATTTAAGAAAATTTAAAATGTGTCAACATCACATACTTATTGCACATTCAGATGCAATAATATGCAATTAATTGACTGCACTAGTTCAGAGTTTATATTTTTACTCCATATTGGAGGAAAAGAGATAAACTCTGAACTAGTGCAGTCAATTCAGTTGAGTTCAGTCAAAAAGAACAAAATAATCTCAAAATTATTTTACACACTATAAGTGTGAATTTGACATTAATTTGAATATAAATGCATATTATTGCATTTAAATGTGCAATTAAGCATATGATGTTGACACATTTTGAATTTTCTTAAATATATGTCAAATAATGTTAAATAAAGAATGTTGTTCTTATTTGGAAGAATAGATTTATAAAAATCACATTTTCTTTTGACAGTTTCTAAGTCATTCAATATAACATTATTCTGCATTTAATCTTATTTAGTTTAAAATACCTATTTGTGCTATACATATTTTTGTAATTTGTTATTTAATAAAGTTTTCTCGAACAATTTGCACTAATATTAGAATTGCAAAAATATTTATGGCTTGAATATTATAAAATGTTTTATGTACATGTTACTATTGTGTAATGTATGCAAATTCCTTGTGTAGGTGAAATGTGATATGACAATACAAGAAGATACTACCTCTTATATAAAAAAGAAATAAAATATTTTTATAAAAAATATGTTAAATTATATTGAAGGCTTTACTATTTTGATATAATTTTTATTTCAAGGTTGCATATAACTATCATTGATTATGAATTAGGCTTAAAGTTGAATCCATCATACAATTCTAGTAAATTATAAATAGAAGCCTACGTGTTGCCTTTCAATGATAAGCAGTATACATGCATATATATATATATGTATATATATATACACAATATACGCAGTATACTATTTAGAGATTTGAGAAGACAGTTTACTATATAACAATTTGTTGAAAAGATTAAAATTCAAAGTTAAAACAAAAATGGCCAGTGGGTGGGACATTTGTGCCTTGTTGCTAAATAAGGATTACATGGTACGTGAGAGACATTGGTGTATGACAACATTTGTACAAGCTCTTATACCTATTGGATTATTTGCATTATTACAAGTCGTGAGAGATTTCAATGCTAATCCACCAGTTATAATAAATGAAACCACGTTTTATCCTATACAAACACAAGCAGATTTAATGAAAAAACTTGATGATTTAAATGTATATTATCTGCCAAAAAATGCACATACAAATAAGATCATGGAGTCTGCGAAAAATTGTCTTGGACTTGTGTCAGAAAGTAAGTGTTACTTTAAAAAAATGCTATATTCTTCAGAAAAACATGATAATTTAATAAGATTTTTTTAATAGTTAACAAAGTATTAAAATAATGATCTTTCTTTCTTTACAGATATAACAGGATTCTCTAATGAGGCTGAAATGACAGATGCTTATATGCGTTCTCAGGCGCGAAATCCAATACTTTCTGTGGTAGCAATTGTTTTTGAACAATATAATACAAGTACCATAAAATATATAATTAGACATTCTGGGGAGATTTTATACGATTTGTACGAAACTGCATTAGAGGAAGATATGAATATATCATCTACAATGTACTTTGATATGATTCCATTTGTACAAGTTCAGATGTGTGTAGATAAAGCGCTTATAAATCAAGTAGCAGCAAATTCTATGTCGAACATAAAGGTATTATAAATCTTATATATATATAAGTATATAAATAAAGAGATATATAAAGTAGTATATAAATAAAGATAAATAAATTAAGAAGCAATATATAAATTGAAAACTTAAAACGAAATATATAAATATATTTTCATGAAGATGAATAATTTATTATTAAAATGTGTTTGGTAAATATAAATATTTATGCTGCATATGGAGACATTAGATAATATACTATTGCTGTATGTGACAATATTACATATATTTTATCATTTTTTAATATACATATATTTTTCAGGTATCAATACAAAGAATGCCTTATCCACCACATGTCAAAATAGACACAGCTGATAAAATTGTACGTGAAATAATTTGTACAGTAGCAGGTATAGCTTTTATAATCCCGCTTTGCATAGAAGCCAACTATGCATCAAACGAGAAATTTATTGGTGTAAATGTTAGTACAAAGTGTTATTACATAGTGTTATTTTTGTTTCTATCTTTCATGTGTGTAATTATTACGATATATTATTTATATTATTGTTTTATGCAGGTTTTAATGGCAATGAATGGAGTTAAAATGACCTACAATTTATTAATCTGGTTAATCACAGGAATATTATACAGCCTTATTTACATAGTACCAATAATCATATTATTTAAACATACTTTTTCTAAAAATGTTGAAGCCTATTTGCAATATGGAAATGGTTTTATATTTTGGCTGGTATTTACTGCATACATTGGCCATCTTATAACATTTGGCATGCATATTGCAGCTTACTTTTCAAAACGTAAATAACTATTCTTCTATCTCTTATAAATTAAATAACATTTTTTAAGATATATTAATTGATGATATCTTTTATAGCACGTTTTGTGACAATTGTTTTATGTGTTATATATACGGCAGCATTGTCGTTCCAAGAATATTTGTCGAAGGCTAAAGCTTTTGGAATTATACCATATTTTGGTATAATATTTCCAAATATTCTGCTATTTAGATTTCTTCAAGAAACAAATGCATATGAAGGGAAATGTAATAACTTCCATTTATTTGTATCTATTAGCTATATCACTAATTTATTAAAGAAAGTTCAGAAAATTACACTATACTTTACATATATATTGTAAATAAGAAATTTTTTTTATTTTAGTAATCGGTATTCATTGGAACAATATTTTTGTTCCTGGGAATGAGGAATATGGTATTGTAGGAAGTACAGGCTTCATATTTCTCTTCTCAGTTTTGGGTGCTGCGATACATTTTACACTTGCGATTTATATAAATGCTATACTTCCTGGTAAATACGGAGTTCGAAAGGATCCATTGTATTTTTTGAAGGCAAGTTTATACAGCGCTATCATCCAGTTACTTAAATTACTTTTTGTTACTTTTTTTTAGTAAACTAAGAAGTTACTATCATTCAAAATAAGTTACTATAATTTTATTTTAAATTGACATGAGCTAAACATAAGAGTTTTTCTCTTCATATTTTTACTGTCTTGACTGATAGGTAATAATTGTCATTTGATCACTAGATACTGGTCTGCTGTGATAATTCCTGCACACTATGGAAAAAATATTAGGAGTAAATATTAAATATTAGGAACACAGACTATTTTAAAATAATAAAATCGGAAGTAAACTGATAGATACAAATTCACATATAAAAGGCTAGCAAATTTATAGTAAGGACACTTACTAGCTCTTTGTATATGATTTTTTATTTGTATATCAGATATATTTTGATTTTATCATATTAAAATGATTCCTATTTCTAATATTTAATATTTATGAAATATATTCTTATAATATTTTCTCTAATGTACGTGAGACCTTAGTATCTTGATTACTTTGTATCGCAAATCGAATGTTAGACAAGTAACGCGATTTTAAACTCTAACATGCTGTTAGAGACTAGGAACAAAAACGCGCGCAAAGAAGAAAACAATTGCTGAACAAAAGAATGTTTATGCTCGAACTCTGCAACATTTATTCAGTATTCAATTGTTTGTCAGAGTGTCTGTTGGTGCTGTCCATGACTATTTTATCGTGTTACCAAAATTCCTCCAAATATAAGCCTTTGGCTTCATTTAACTTCTGGTTTCTATTTATTTTTAAAGGTAAATATATTTATTTTAATAGTATGTTAATATTTTATATAAATATTGTTTATTTTATTATATTTAATGTGAAATGCACACTAGGTATTTATTTTACTGAATAAAACTGCAGAAAATATATATATATATATCATTTAAGCTCCCGTTTTTTTTTTAATTATAAATTTTTAAATCTTGTCATGAAAAAATGTGTTGTATATTAGGCCATCTAAACATAGATCTGTATTATTTTTGTTTAATAGCCTTTTACTTCATCTGAAAATTTTATACAAAATATCGCTTTTGATTACTATTTTAGTTAATATTTTAATATACCTAAACCTCACATTTTGTGATTTTTTCAGTCAAAAAGCAGTCTCTATCTCACTTTTCTGATCCGGTAACTGCATGGCAGCACTGGTTTATATATATAAAGATTATTAGAATACAAACATTAAATGTGGGACATAATTATATATGGTTTCATATTTTACAGTGTATCAAGAAGAATGAAATATTTTTCGACGAAGAAATTGTTGAGTTTGATTGCAGTAAAGAGGATAATGAAAACTTTGAACCAGTATCAAGTGGTACATTTACACCTGGAATCCAAATACGTAATCTTAAGAAATCTTATACAACAAGCTGGTTACGAAAATCTGTAAGCATATATGTAAAGATAAATATTACATTTCTATGTAATGCATTTAATTAATACTAAATTACTACATTTTAGCAAGTTCATGCACTGAAAGGAATTTCTGTGGACTTTTACAAAGGACAAATTACTGCTTTACTTGGACATAATGGAGCAGGCAAAACCACACTTATGTCTATATTAACAGGTAGATTGCATCACAAAATAATTTTTAACTTGAAAATGTTATTTTGTGAAAGAACTCATATTTATTTTCGAATAGGTGTAACGAGTGAGACAGAAGGAAAAGTAATCATAAACGGCAAAAATATAAGAAAACATCTTCACAGTATTAGAAAGGATCTAGGCCTATGTCCTCAAGAAAACATGGTTTTTCCTGATTTAACTGTATTTGAACAGATAGAATTTTTTGGCTTGGTAAGAATAACAATAACCTTCATGAAATAAAAGCAATTGTGTTAAATATATATTACGTTTTAATATCCAATTTTAATGTTATGACAGTTGAAAGCTAAGAACAGAACCAGAAAGGAAGTCAAGCAAGATGTTCATGCTTTACTTGCTAAGCTGAAGCTTTCTGAAAAGAAAGATTTTCTTCCAAGCAAATTATCTGGTGGTCAACAAAGAAGATTGTGCCTTGGAATGGCGCTCATTGGTGATGCTAGCGTAAGTTTTGATATAAGTATAAAATTCGCACTGTAATAACTTTAATCTCTTAAAACTAAATTTACGTTTAGATTATAATCCTGGATGAGCCGACATCGGGAATGGACCCTGAAACTAGCCGAGACACATGGGATATAATATTAGTAAGCACAAATTTAATCTAAAATTTTTCAAATAATATCTTCAGATATGTGTATATGTTACAATATGTTGTATAATACATTTTGCATAATTAATATTGTTCGACAGAAACTCAGAGGAGAGAAAACAATATTGATCACTACACATAATATGGAAGAGGCTGATATACTTGGTGACAGAATCGCAATAATACATTCAGGACGCCTTAAAAGTTATGGTACACCAATGTTCTTGAAAAAACAGTATGGTAAGATATTATATTGAACTTATTAATACTTAAATATACTTACTAATATTTAAATATGACACCTAATTAAATCGTATTTTACTAATCATAACTTTTTATTCTATTTTAGGTCATGGTCATATAGAAGTAACCTTATCAACAAAATCTTGGTGCGTTCCTGAAAACGTTATAAGTAAATTTGATTCGAGGACGCAACAACTTTGCAT